GATAGGTTATATCTCAAATGTGTGTTTACACGCACTTCTGGTGAGTGTGCATTTCATTTACATTGAACACCTGCCACTGGGATTAACCCTCCACGCATGCTTATCGGGATCATACAGGATCCTCACGTGTGCAATACATCTGGGACTTTTTTGCACTTTACTCACCTATTGGTGACATCATTTATGCACATTTATTTGTTTATTTTCTTGATTGATCTGGTATTGCTGATTATCTATATTTATATACTGAGTATATGCTAGCGATTTTCTCATGCTGCACATTTTTTTAAAAAAACTGCATCTTCTCATTTCCTTATAATAATGATGAGATTTATGCTGCATATTTAAGTTTTTAGCGCTGCACCTTTATATTGAGAATAGTTGAAACTTGTTCATACTTACAATATATTCTATCTTTCCGATGGTTGTTCGATAATCTTTGAGAAGTCTGTAACTGGAGAAAACGTTGACAAGATCCCATTCTCCATCACTCATGTACCTACTCCTAAATTGCTGTAGCTCATGTTTTTCTTCCGCAAGAGCTACATTTACATCTTCAACTAAAGATAAACAAGGCAATATTTAGGGTTGTTTATAATGTTTGATACTATTACATGTAAAACCAGATAGAATAAATTAAATTCTTTAACCCCTTCCCGTCACCGCATCCTGGTCCCCCTTAATTGGACCAAAATGCCTGGAGGCAGAGGTGGGCATTCCAATCATGTGACTGTAGTGATTTGGTGTTGCAATGGTCACATGATCACAAGTATGCATCAGGATCATATATATATATACATACACACATACACACTCTTAGCACAGTAAATTGTTTACCAATGGAAGCATATACTATATTGCCAAAAGTATTCAAATCATTGGTTTCAGGTGTTCCAATCACCTCCATGGCCACAGGTGTATAAAATCAAGCCCCTAGGCATGCAGACTGCTTCTACAAACATTTGTGAAAGAATGGGTCGCTCTCAGGAGCTCAGTGAATTCAAGCGTGGTCCCATGATAGGTTGTCACCTGTGCAATAAGTCCATCCGTGACATTTCCTGGCTACTAAATACTCCACGGTCAACTGTTAGTGGTATTATAACAAAGTGGAAGCAACTGGGAACAACAGCAACTCAGCCACCAAGTGGTAGGCCATATAAAATGACAGAGCTGAAGTGCACAGAGTCAATAGCTAAAGATCTCCAAACTTCGTGTGGCCTTCAGATTAGCACAACAACAGTGCATAGAGAACTTCATGGAATGGCTGCATCCAAGCTTTACATTACCAAGTGCAATGCAAAGCATTGATGCAGTGGTGTAAAGCACACCGCCACTGGACTCTAGAGCAGTGGAGATGTGTTTGGATCATGCTTCACTGTCTGGCAATCCCATGGACGTGTCTGGGTTTGGCAATTGCCAGTAGAACGGTACTTGCCTGGCTACATTGTGCCAAGTGTAAAGTTTGGTGGAGGGGGGATTTTGTTGCGGGGTTGTTTTTCGGGGATTGGCTTGGCCCCTTAGTTCCAGTGAAGGAAACTCTTAAGGCATCAACATACCAAGACATTTTGGTCAATTTCATGTTCCCAACTTTGTGGGAACAATATGGGGATGGCCCCTTCCTTTTACAACATGACTGCACATCAGTGCACAAAGCAAGGTCCATAAAGACATGGATGAGCGAGTTTGGGGTGGAGGACTTGACTGGCCTGCACAGAGTCCTGACCTCAACCCGATAGAACACCTTTGGGATGAATTAGAGCGGAGACTGCGAGCCAGGCCTCCTCCCCGACATCAGTGTCTGACCTCACAAATATGCTTCTAGAAGAATGGTCCAACCTTCCCATAGACACCCTCCTAAACCTTGTGGACGGCCTTCCCAGAAGAGTTGAAGCTGTTATAGCTGCAAAGGGCGGGCCAACTCAATATTGAACTCCATGGACCAAGAGTGTGTAAAGGCCGGCCGACCAGTACTTTTAACAATATAGTGTATGACTGCACAGGCATTCTATGCATGCAGGTAAAAAAAACCTTTAGTGCGCAGCTCCCCCTCAGCAACCCCCTTATTCTCATCTGAGCCCGATCCCGCAATGTGCAGCAGAGCAGACACTCTCCTGAGTCTCTGCCTGCTCATTGGCTGAGCCCAGCAGTGTCAATCACAGACAGTGTGGAGGAAGCAGGGGGCAGGGCTGAATGCCACACTCCGTGTGTCTCATAGACAGACAGAGGTGGCTCAGGAGCGAGCATGCACAAGTGTTCCCAGAGCAAGCAGCTTGCTGTGGGGGCACTCAGCGGGATGAGGGGCCTAGAGTTCTATAGGGGTACCCAAAAAGAGAAGGATCAGGGCTGCCCGGTGCAAAAATCCTGCAAAGAGCAAGTAGAACATGTTTGTTATTTAAAGAAAAAAATCGGAACCTTTAAAGTCACTTTAAAGGAAACCTATCATCATGGAAACACAAAGGCAGTCATTGTTGGCTTTTCCTTCTAAAAATTATTTTTTCTTGGCTATCATCATTAACCTTTATACATAGATAACAGAAACAAGTGTGCAGACTTTTCCTTATCAGCAAATTTATTTCAGGTCAGTTAATCAGAAAATATTAAATCCAAAATGTTAGCATAGCAGCCAGTTAGCTAACATTTTGAGCAGGAGGTAACAGGGGCGGACTGACCATTTGGAAACTCGGGCACTGCCCGAGGGCCCGGGGTCAGTAGGGGGCCCCATGAGATGCCCCTGGGAGGTAAGTAATAACAGCCCCAGTATAAAATGATAGGTTAACATTCTGTGGCGTATTGGTTGTTAGCATTGATCTGGTATCTAAAAATACCTTGATACACCCACAAATACTGTATGCATCCAGGTTTATCTAGTATGTACAAATGAATTAGACATAGGTTTGTATTATTCTGTATTGCTTATATCAAATGGGAAATATTTTTACGTACTTGTGTGCAGCCAGCTGGTAAAGGAGATGGAGCACTTTTGTGTATCAAATGGGAAATAGTAGATATTGAGGCTGCAGGCAGTTGATATAACCAGGGGTCTATTGTTTTTTACTGTTCCTTGGTAATCCACATACACATAAGGAATATCTAAAGCCATTGCTGTTTCAACACTGAAGAGAAAATAACAAAGTTATATTATAGGCACCCAAACAATCACTGAAAAATATATCAAAAATATGAAGACACAATCTACCCAATTCTGAAAATTGTGTCCTTATTGAGAGCTCTTTCCCCCCCCAGCAGTTAAAATTAGCTTTTAATATGCCCTCAAAAATGACAGTTGGAATCTGAAAATTTGACTATGATTGGTTGCTGTGATTGTGATAGTTCCCGCACATGCCAGTACTGCCTCCTGAATACCTGTTAACAGGGGCGGACTGACAACTCATGGGCCCCCCGGGCAATAGGGGATCATGGGGCCCCTGTGTCCTTGTCCAAACTCAAAAAAGCCTATGAAAAAGGTTCCAGGGGCATCTCTTGGGGCTTGGGAGTTTCCAAATGGTCAGTCCACCCCTGCTCCTGAACCACTGCTCTGCCCCGTCCATTGTCTCTCCTCATTGGCTCACTGGCTGTGATTGACTTTCTCTACCAATGAGAAGGGAGAGTATCAGGAGAGCCGTGGCTAATGTGAACATTGCTGGATTGCGAGTTTCCAAATGGTCAGTCCGCCCCTGCCTGTTAACCGCCTCTAATCCATGATTTAAATGGTAATCTACCTCAAAACACTTTTCAGAGCCTGCTGCTGTTGTGAAATGAGCCTAAGGCTGGCCATACACTAATTTTTCTGTCCAATTTCCTTTAGATTTACCTTCAACTGTGTAGTGCAAGGACTTGCCTAATTGGATACAACTGAAAGTGTTGTTTGGGTTTGACCTCCTATTATATGGTTTTTGGTAAATCTTAAGCAAAATTCTCAAGAGCCTTAGGCTGGCCATACATTATACAATTTTCTTGAGATTTTTGGTTTAGATCAGGGGCGGACTGACCATTTGGAAACTCGGGCACTGCCCGAGGGCCTGGGGTCAGTAGGGGGCCCCATGAGATGCCCCTGGTAGCCTTTTTCATAGGCTTTTTTGAGTTTGGGCAAGAACACAGGGGCCCCATGATCCCCTATTTCCCGGGGGCCCCATGAGTTGTCAGTCCGCCCCTGATTTAGATTTATCAAAAACCATATAATATGAGGTCAAATCTAACAACACTTTCAATTCTATCCAATTAGGCAGGTCCTTGCACTACATAGTTGAAGGTAAATCTAAAGGAAATTGGTCAGGAAACAGTAAGAAAATTGTATAGTGTATGGCCAGCCTACGTCCTCATGCAGACGGGACGTTTTGATAACGCTGGTAACGTTAGATGACTAAAGTCACATTAAAAATGCAAGTTTTTCAGCTTTTTTTAACATTTTTGCATTAGCGTTTAATGGCATTTTGCCACGATTAGCTGCGTTTTCCCAAGTGTCTCCACGTTTGCATTTTTTTACCAAAAAAAAAAAATTTGGGGGTAAAAAACATCCAAAAATGCCGGTTTGTGGCGTTTTGCCACGTTTTGCCACGTTTCTCAGCATTAGAGCATTTTTACAGCTAAAAAACTCCTCTAGAAACCCGCTAGTTCTGAGTTTTTTCCAGCCAAAAAATGTTCCAGCCAAAAAACAGTGATTACAGTTTATGTGTGGATGGATAACATGGTGGGAGTTTACTAACTTTAGAAAAAAACGTCAAAAGCCAAAAACAGCCGCTGTAAAGATGTCCAGAGTGCATGAGGATTTACAGTGTCAGAGCACTGGAATAGGCCAAGAGAGGTTCTCTTTATCATCCCTTTAACCACCTCCCGCCCGCCATATAGTATTATGCCGGACGCAAGGCGGTTCTCTCGTTCTGGGAGGACGTCATACGACGTCCTCCCATTCTCACCGCGCATGCGTGACTCCCGGAGCGTGCAGCGCGGCAATCGGCAGTGCGCTGTGTCCCTCGGACACATTGGACCACCAATCCACGGAAAGAGCCGAAGATGTCGGCTCAGTCATGTGATCAGCTGTGTCCAATCACAGCTGATCACATGCAAACAGGGAAATGCCAGTTATCGGCATTTCTCTCCTCTCGTGCTGTCACGCTGACAGCTCGTGAGGAGAGGAGAGCCAGTAATCGGCATTCCTCGGAGAGGACATCTACACTGATCATCAGGGCACTGATGATCAGTGTGCCCTGATGATCTGTGTAGCCCCAGCAGTGCCAGCTCTCAGTGCTCATCCATGCCACCTGCCAGTGCCCATCAGTGCCACATATCAGTACATACCAGTGCACATCAATGCCACATATCAGTGCCCATCTGAGCTGCCTTTCAGTGTCACCCATCAGTGCCAGTCAGTGCCACTTATCAATGCCAGTCAGTGCCACCTATCAGTGCTACCAATCAGTGCCACCTATCAGTGCCAGTCAGTGCCGCCTATCAGTGCCAGTCAGTGCCGTCTATCAGTGTCCATCAGTGCTGCCTATCAGTGTCGCCTAACAGTGCCAGTCAGTGCCACTTATCAGTGCCGCCTATCAGTGCCATATATGAGTGCTGCCTTTCAGTGCCCATCAGTGCCACCTACCAGTGCCTCCTCATCAGTGCCCATCAGTGCCACCTATCAGTGTCCATCAGTGCAGCCTATCAGTGCCCATCAGTGCAGCCTCATTAGCGCACATCAGTGAAGGAGAAAAATCACTTATTTACAAAATTTATAACAAAAACTAAGAAAAAACATTTTTTTTTTCAAAATTTTCAGTGGTTTTTGGTTTGTTTAAGAAAAAATAAAAAACCGAGATGTGATTAAATACCACCAAAATAAATCTCTATCTGTCACAAAAAAATCATAAAAATGTCATATGGGTACAGTGTTGCATTACCGCGCAATTTTCATTCAAAGTGCAACAGCACTGAAAGCTGGAAATTGGCCTGGGCAGGAAGGGGGTATAAGTGCCCTGTAGGCGAGGGGTTAAAACCAAACACATATTAATTACATGGGTTCTGAGGCTAATTTAATGCAGATAAAGCAATAAGAGAGTTTAATTGCCACCGTAATCAGCCACAGAACCTGTGTAATTAATATGTGTTCAGTTTTAAAGGGATGATGTGGCAACCCTATGGATGGTACCATTTTTTTTTTGTTTTGGGCCAGATGACAAAGGAAAACCTGTTGGTAGCATCAGCTGCATGGGCTTTGCAGTCATTGCTGATCAGCACTGTGAGGAATAAGTGTGCTTTAATTAGGAACATGCAGAATCAGAATTGTATTGAGGTAACCTCTTATTGCACAATGTATCCAGATGGATGTATTACACAAATGAGTATGTGCTAAACAACTACTTCTTGGGAAATGCTTGGCTAGACAGAATGGTGACATTTCTGGTGAATGGTAATTAGAGATCGCCCACTGGTCATCATAACCGGTCATCTGCCCAGGTCTTAGTGATAGAACCCAGATTTATGTATCCTTGCCAGTATTACTACATAATTGTTATATGATCCAGTTACATAACCATTCCACAACCACCTTGTATTCCTATTGGTTAAGTGTCTACCTTTCTTCTCCACCACTTTTATAATATATATTCGACTGAGAGACCATTAAATGGTGAACATATTGGATGAGACACGAGTCTGTGGGGTTTATTTACTAAACCTTGTTCACTCAGAATCTCATGCACTTCTGCATGGAAACCGATCAGCTTACAGATTGTATTGCTAAAGCTTAATTGAACAAGCTGAGGTTAGCAGCTGATTGGCTCCCATGTACAGGTGTGCGAGACCCCGAGTCAACCAGCTTAGAAAATCTCCCTGTGTGATTCCATGTTCCCAAGTGCACTTGACAGGTATTGACAATATGGCAGTTTCACTATAATAACCACTTCCCAACCGCGCTATAGCTGAAGGAAGGCTACAGCTTGGTTGTGTAATTCTGGGACAATGTCTTTGATGACCAGTGCCACCCACCTGTGCCCTGCAGTGCCACCCACCTGTGCCCATCAGTGCCACCCACTTGTGCCCAGCAGTGCCACCCATCAGTGCCCATTAGTGCCACCCACTTGTGCCCAGCAGTGCCACCCATCAGTGCCACCCACCTGTGCCCAGCAGTGCCAATCACGTGTGCCCAGCAGTGCCACCCATCAGTGTCCATCAGTGCCACCCACTTGTGCCCAGCAGTGCCACCCATCAGTGCCACCCACTTGTGCCCAGCAGTGCCACCCATCAGTGCCCATTAGTGAAACCCACTTGTGCCCAGCAGTGCCACCCAGCAGTGCCACCCACCTGTGCCCAGCAGTGCCACCCACTTGTGCCCAGCAGTGCCACCCATCAGTGTCCATCAGTGCCACCCACGTGTGCCCAGCAGTGCCACCCATCAGTGCCCAGCAGTGCCACCCATCAGTGCCACCCACTTGTGCCCAGCAGTGCCACCCATCAGTGCCACCCACCTGTGCCCATCAGTGCCACCCATCAGTGCCACCCACCTGTGCCCAGCAGTGCCACCCATCAGTGCCCATCAGTGCCACCCACTTGCGCCCAGCAGTGCCACCCTTTAGTGCCCATCAGCGTCACCCATCAGTGCCCAGCAGTGCCACCCATCAGTGCAGCATCATCAGTGCCTCCTATCAGTGCTGCTTATCAGTGCCCATCAGTGATGCCTATCAGTGCAGCCTCATCAACGCACATCAGTGAAGGAGAAAAATTACCTGTTTGTAAAATTTTATAATAGAAACAAAGAAAAACTTTTTTTTTTAATTTTTTGCTCTTTTTTTGTTTATAGCGCAAAAAATAAAACAACCAGTAGCAAGTAAATACCACCAAAGGAAAGCTCTATTTGTGTGAAAAAAATGATAAAAATGTAATATGGGTACAATGTTGTATGACTGCACAATTGTCATTCAAAGTGTGACAGCGCTAAAAGCTGACAATTGGCATGGGCAGGAAGGGGGTATAAGTGCCCGGTAGGCAAGTTGTTAAAGCCACAGTTACTTATTTTTTATAGAAGACAAATTATAAGAATCATATTTTCTAACAGGCACTAGTCAACATTTTGAAAGTGAGCTCATCCACAGCATTAGGGGAAGATGGTTTTGTCTCTCTGCACTTAGGCGATAGTAAGCTGCGTCCAACAAAAAAAAAAATCCCCGGGAAGGTGAAGGCATAATGTTCTGGTATGCATACTAGCACATTATGTAAAACCTACCTTAAAATGAAGCCCTCCAGCGCTGTCACCGCTGTAGAGGCTTCCATCTTCACCCGGTCTTCCTTCCAGGTTCACGAGCTCTGGCCGTCTGACTCTGAGCCGCGATGACATCACTCCCGCACATGCACACGGGAGTCTCGGGACACGTCACAGTGCTCTGAAGTAATGGTGCAGGTATGCTGTTCCAGCGCACGTTTAGGAGATATTAGGAGAGCTGGAGGTGCACTTCTGCATAGAAACCAATCAGCTTCCAGATTTTATTGCCAAAGCTTAATTGAACAAGCTGAGATTAGAAGCCAAAAGAAGCCTGATGTAACTTTCATAGAGTAGTATTCAGGGCTTTTTTCTCAAAGAATAGGTGCAGGAACTCACTCTTTCCGAGTCACCCCTGTCTCCATCCCGCACCATCCCTGCGTTCCACCCAGAGGTGTATTTACCACAAGACAAACAAGGCATTTGCCTAGGGCGGCATTTTTCAGGGGGGCAGCACTCGCGGCATGGGGGCCTGGTGGGTTCTGAGAGAGGCTGCGGGTTTCATGATGGTGTATGCACAGCTCGACTCTCATTCCCAGGGATGTCCGGAGCTGTGAAGGTAACTTTCTCTCTCTCTTCATGGGCAGTAGTGGCTGGTGTATGGGGGGCAGTGGTAGTGGAAGGCTCTCTTGGGTGGGGGCAATGGTGTCCCTAGGCGTGTGCGGGGGATGCACGCCGCACTGGGTGACACTTACCGCACGGGGTTACACCGGACCCGCTTCACGAAAAGGTAAGTTGCAAAGCAAGCCGATGATCCCCGCAGGATGGATCAGATCTGCAGATTGAGCATAATGGACTGGAGTCTGATCCATTATCCTCCCCAATCCGCAGATCTGATCCATCCTGCGGTGATCATCGGCATGCAACCTATACGGGGTTAACTGATCTCTCCATGAAAAGGTAAGTTTTAAAGGAAGCCGACAATCCCCACAGGATAAATTGGATCTGTGGATTGAGCATAATGGATCTGAGTCCGATCCATTATGCTCAATCCATAGATCCGATCCATTCTGCAGTGTATCGTTCGAAGGGGTGTCACCAAGGTTACTGCACTGGGTGACACCAACCCTAGGGTGGGGGGGTGCTGATTTTTGTGTTGCCTAGGGCAGCACAAAACCTAAATACACCACTGGTTCCACCCCTTACCTATTTCCCAGTACCGCCATTTTAGAGAGTACAGAACCAAGTATCAATTTGTAATAATAACAAGAAAAGCAGTAAATAGATCCCCTGCAGTCAGCAACAATAGACCCCCCCCTAAACAACAACTGACCACCTGCAACAAAACACCCCCCCATCAGCAATAGTCCCTCAGCAGCATCAACAGATCTCCCCAGAGCCAGCATCAATAGACCCACCACCAGATAGCAATGATAGATCCCGCCCTCAATAGTAGATCCTTCCCAGCAACAACAGACCCCCCACTATTTTAATTATTTATTTCAGGTACTTATATAGCACTGTCAATTTACGCAGCACTTTACATATATATTGTACATTCACATCAGTACCTGACCCTCAAGTTGCGTAGAATCTAAAGTCCCTAACTCACATTCATACATACACATACGAGGGCCAATTTAGACAAGAGCCATTTCACCTACCAGCATGTCTTTGGAGTGTGGAGGAAACCAGATTACCCGGAGGAAACTGATGCAGGCACAGGGAGAACATGCAAACTCCAGGCAGGTGGTGCAGTGGTTGGGATTTGAACCAACGACCCTAATACTGCCAGGCAGAAGTGCTAACCATTTAGCCACTGTGCTGCCCAAACACTATCAACAGTAGACCTCCTGAGTATCAATAGACCCCCCCCTGCAAAAATAGATCCCCTAGAGGAACAATAGATCCCTCAGCAGCCAGCATCAATGGACCCTGCAGTACACCCCACCACTCCTTGCAATTACATACATTCAGTGCTGGAGATGCCGGAACTGCGTTCCCCCGCATTCCCGCTGAAAAAAATCCCTGGTAGTATTTATTTAAAAACACTCAGCATGCAGTACAAGACATAGGAATAAAAACAAACAAAAGGCGCCAGCACTTACAAATGTGGCCGCCACACAGACTCCATGTGGTGGCATGATGTCAGCACTCTAAACTCCATCCAACGCACTTCATGCTCTAGCGCTTCATTGGGGTCAAAGAGGGCTGAGTCTAACAAGTCCTATATATATATATATATATTGTATATACACATATGTGTTAGATTGAATTATTATTATTATTATTATACAGTATTTATAAAGCGCCAATAGTTCGCTCAGCGCTGTACATTACAAAGGGAGACAGAACATGTGACAGAACATTACCAATACAATGCAAAACATGAGGGGATCAAGGGCCCTGCTCCTTGGAGCTTACAATCTAGGAGGGAGGGGGTGGTGGCACAGGAGGAGATAGCTGTGGGGGATGGAGTGGTAGGAAGAGTGGAGGAGGTCGGCAAGTTAGCAGGGGGTGGGGTAGGCTTCCCTGAAGAGATGGGTTTTCAGGGTGCGCCTAAAGGAGAGGAGAGTAGGTGATAATCTGATGGGTTGGGGCAGGGAGTTCCAGAGGATGGGTGACACCCTGGAGAAGTCCTGGAGGCGGGCATGGGAGGAGGAGACCAGGGAACTAGAGAGAAGGAGGTCTTGTGAGGAGCGGAGTGTGCGTGCTGGGCGGTACTTGGATATTAGGTCAATGATGTAGTTCGGGGCAGTATGGTGGACAGCTTTGTACGTCAGCGTTAGGATTTTGAATTTGATCCGTTGCGCAATCGGAAGCCAGTGGAGGGATTGGCAGAGGGGGGTGGCGGAGACAGAGCGGTTGGAAAGGTGAATGAGTCTGGCAGCCGTGTTCAGGATGGACTGAAGAGGGGATAGCCAGCGGCGAGGCAGGCCAGTGAGGAGGGAGTTGCAGTAGTCGAGTCGTGATATGATGAGGGAGTGGATGAGCTGTTTAGTGGTTTCTGGGGTTAGGAACGTGCGGATTTTGGCGATGTTGCGGAGGTGAAGTCTGCACGAGTTTGTTAAAGATTGGACTTGGGGCTGGAAGGATAGGTTGGAGTCCAGAATGACACCAAGTACTCTGGCCTGCAGGGCGGGTTTGATGGTAGCGTTGTTGGATGTGACGGAGAAATCAATGGGGGGTGGTGTCCGGGCTGGGGGGAAGAAAAGAAACTCGGTTTTGGAGAGGTTCAATTTAAGGAAGTGGAGCGACATCCAGTCTGATATGTCGCTCAGTAGGTGTGTGATTCGGGCTGAGACCAAGGGGGTGAGGTGGGGGGTTGAGAGATAGATTTGTGTGTCGTCGGCATAGAGGTGGTAGTTGAAGCCGTGAGAGTGTATGAGTTGGCCAAGGGAGGAGGTATAGATGGAGAAGAGAAGGGGCCCGAGGACAGAGCCTTGAGGGACCCCAACAGAGAGGGGGAGTGAGGGGGAGGTGGTAGCATTATAGGTAACGCTGAAGGAGCGTTGTGACAGGTAGGATGAGAGCCAGGAGAGAGCAGAATCTCTGAGGCCGAGGGAGTGTAGTTTTTTGAGGAGGAGGGGGTGGTCGACTGTGTCGAAGGCCGCAGAGAGGTCAAGGAGTAGGAGCACTGAATAGTGGCCATTAGCTTTGGCGGTTAGCAGGTCGTTGGAGAGTTTGAGTAAGGCAGTTTCGGTGGAGTGTAGGGGACGGAAGCCGGACTGTAGGGGATCGAGGAGGTTGTTGTCGTTGAGGTGAGAGCATAGGCGGGTGTAGACGAGGCGCTCGAGGAGTTTAGATGTAAATGGGAGCAGGGAGATGGGTCTGAGGTTGTTCGGGTCATTGGGGTCCAGGGAGGGCTTTTTAAGTATGGGGGTGATGTGTGCATGTTTCAGAGGGGAGGGGAAAGTGCCTGAGGAGAGGGAGAGATTGAAGATGTGGGTGAGGGAGCGTAGGATGGAGGAGGAGGAAGGTCGTAGGAACAGTTGATTGGCCACCATCTTGCCAGCGGCTTTTTTTCCAATTTAAAATTAGATACATTGTTGTCTATGAAACAATGTACACAGCTGAGTAAAGATCAGTAATACGTCAATCAGCTCAAGACCTTAAAACAAAAATAGAACATTTTACATTTGAGTGCAGTAATTTACACGCATACACGTGCTTGTGCATCTCTAAACATGTTTACACAAGTATAAATGAATATATTAGAACACTGGGGAGGAAGCATTTTACTCATCTATACGATTACGCACATTGACGCGTCTATACGCGTGTTTACACAACGTGTATACAGAACATTTTACTCAGAACCTTTCTGTCAAGATCCTAAGTAAAAACATCAGTAAATTATTACACCTGTGTGCATCTATACCAGTGTTTCTCAACTCCAGTCCTCATGGACCCCCAACAGGTCATGTTTTCAGGATTTCCCTCAGATGAAACAGCTGTGGTAATTACTAAGGCAGTGAAACTGATCAAATCACCTGTGCAAAATAATGGAAATCCTGAAAACATGACCTGTTGGGGGTCCATGAGGACTGGAGTTGAGAAACACTGATCTATACTAATGTGGGATTTATTTAAACAAATGTATCCTTTAGTATATCTTTAAAGTGTATGTTACCCCAACATATCATATTCCTGTTGTCTGGTGTTCCATGTACTTGTATGAAAAAAGTATCCTGATCTCTATAGATTGCTTCCTTTGTGTGAAAAAGCTGGTGATCCTGCCAATCCTCATGCGTTCCTATTTCAAACTGATCACACTAAGCCTAGAAGCCCATCCTTTCCAGTGTGGTCAGTTTTTTTGGGCTGTGCTGGGATCACAGCCTGCCTGTCCTCCAATGGTCAGCCTTGTGCTGACACGCCTCCCCTCCCCTGCACAGCTCTTTACTAGGAGGATCAGTGTACTGTTCTGTCTCTGCCTCCTGCTGACCCCCCCCCCCCCCCAACACACACAGTCTCCACCCCCAGCTCCCTTAGCCCTTTATGCAGCAAAGACAACAGGGATCACGTGCAGGGGCGGACTGACCATTTGGAAACTCGGGCACTGTCCGAGGGCCCGGGGTCAGTAGGGGGCCCCATGAGATGCCCCTGGTACCTTTTTCATAGGCTTTTTTGAGTTTGGACAAGGACACAGGGGCCCCATGATCCCCTATTGCCCGGGGGCCCCATGAGTTGTCAGTCCGCCCCTGATCATGTGATCACTTATAAGAAATGAAACAAAAGTATAAATATACTGTATAGACATAGTAAGAAAGAAACATTTTGTCTTGTATTTCTGGTAATCTGACAGGGTTATTTTACAAGTACTGTAAGCATTTATGAGTCATTTAGAGCAGCTGAGCAACTGATATTTTGTGTATTTATATCAAGAAAGGCACACAGGCTACTTGGTTAGAACTATAACTTATATCATTGTGTTCTATGCATAGTTCCATCTAGGACACATGCACTCTGTGTTGATTGGACTGTTCTTGTGTTAGGTTTCCTCCAGGTGCTTTGATTCCTTGCAAGAAAGTACTCTGGTCGGATATTTGGGTCCTGAATAAACTACCTCTAGGTCATGGGTGCTCAACCTGTGGCCCTCCAGCTGTTGGGGAAATAAAAGTCCCATGAGGCATTGCAAGGTTGACAGTTACAAGCATGACTCCCAAAGGCAGAAGCATGATGGGACTTGTGCAATAGCTAGAGGGCCACAGGTTGAGTACCCATGCTCTAGGGCAATGGTCTCCAAACTGCAGCCTGGGGATAAGATGCGACCCTTTGCTTGCTTTTACCTGACCCTTGGGGCACTATTTCATCCACTGGTACCAACAATAGGGCTTCATTTCCCCCCCGACACCAATTCCTCCCAATGACACCAACAATGGAGCCTAATGACACCAATGATGGGGTGCAATTCCTCTCAATGACACCAAAAATGGGGCAAAATTCCTCCCACTGACACCAATGATGGGCCAATGTTTTCTCCCACTGACATCGGGACATTTTTTACTTCCCTTTTCTACTAGCCCCCTAAAGTTTGAAGGACAATAAACTGGCCCTTTGTTTAGAAATGTTTGGAGTCCCCTCCTCTAGGGTATGTATGCTTGTCCGATTGTGATTGGGGCTTTAGATCATATGCTTCTTTTTGGCCAAAGGCTGATGTGAAAAGTCTTCATTTGATTTATTATCAATACTTACAACTCCATGACCACTATATCTGGGATCCAGATGAGTTGTCTAGGAATGGAAATTTGAGTGACGTTGTCGAATTTTGTGGGATCCCAGGTAAGAAATTCATCAACCCAAGACTAGACAAAACAAACAGATAGATATGCATAGAAATAAAAATAACTTGAAACATAACATTAAAAAATAAAATAAATATAGCTAGAAAAACAGATATTTACCTGTTTAAGCCAAAGGTCAGTTCTCAACACCTGGCTTTTTTCCTCCTGTTTAGAAAGAGAGTAAATGTATTTTTCTAAAAATGGTGAGCATGCAGGCTGCAATGTACATTTTCAAATGGCAATTGTATTTTCTTTATACAAAAATTCATAAAAAATACTTTCTTATTGAATATGTGCATTTCTGTTGAAATGTGAATGACCTTGTAAAAGTCATCACGTGTTCCACTCCTGTCTGAGAGTTAATAGGGGATCCATTCAACTCATTTATCACATTCCTTTTTATGTTTCTTTGGAACTTTCAGTGTACTGTTTGAGCTGTTTTTGTTCTCCGCTCAAATTTCCGTTTACAATGCCTTATACTGAGACCTCCTGACCATAAAGCTGCTTATACAATTAAATAAACATATTTTTTTTCACTTGTTATGCATAGCACATTTTGTAAATGTTTTTCTGGAGGCTCTGATTGTCAACAAACAAGTGCTGGAAGGCCACAGCTACAATGAATGTCCCAAGTGGATCTGTTAGCTTCCTTACAATGATTTTGGGTCAATTTTTTTAAAGGAGAAGTACAGAAATGTAAAAAATAAACATACACACTCACCTATCTGCTGCAGCATTGAACCAATTGTCCCCCACTGGCTCTAAGCCTGAGAACTGAGCGATCACATGACCACTGATTGCTTAGTTCTCAGTCTGCTCTGAGCAGAGAGTGGATGACTGTCAATCGACGCTTTCCTCTGCCCCTCCAGCTTTCACTGGTGCTCTGGGCATAAGTGGCTGGCTCAGGCTCTTAGTGGCACCCTGAGAGTATGAGCCAGCTCTCTGTAAGACATCTTGGTGGATCCTGACATTATTGTCGGGATCTCTCAAGATCTCTATGATGTCAGTTGACAGTGGTCTTTAGCCCCCTGTATGCTGATTCTGGGTCACAGAAGTGCAAAACTGAATGCACTCCTGTGACCCACATGATAAACATGGCCAAAAGTCCTATGACCATACTTCTCATTTAAAAACAAACATTTCTGAACTGATGTTTATAAGTTTTTTTTTTTTTTTTTGCTATATACAGTATATGATCTTTCCAAATAAACATTAAAATCCTAACTCCAGCAAATACTTAAAGCGGAGTTCCACTCACTCTGTAAAAAAATAAAAGTCAGCAGCTACAAAAACTGTAGCTGCTGACTTTTAAAAAACAGCCACTCACCTGTCCCATGATCCCGCGTTGCCCCCGCCGCAGCCCGTTTCACCGGCCGTCCTGTATTCCAGGCGCCAGCATCTTCAGTGTGGGCACCCGGCTGTGACAGCTGCGCACGTGCGAGTAGCTCTGCGCTTCCTGAATGGCACAGTCATCTTCTGGGACCTGTCACGTGTCCCACATGACTTCGGGGAGGGAGGGTAGGAGGACAACTTCGGTTTCTGATCGGTTAGGCAGTCACAGCAGAAGTGGGAGTGGGTACCTGTCAAATTCGGGTACCCGTTCCCCCCCACTCCCCAAAGGTGCCAATCCTTAATGGGGAGTGGGGGACCAATCTTTAAAGCGGAACTTCCCCTTTTGGGTGGAACTCCGCTTTAAAGCAGAACTCTGGGCAAAAACTTCTTTAAGTGTCCATGTTGCTCATTTCCTACCGTCATTGAATACGTCATTCATCTTCTGGTTCTCTCAGCATTTGCTCTGAAATAGCCTATTCATTTTCAAATCAAACCAAAAATTCTCTTTGGTTTCCTGTTTGTAAGACCAGTGGCTTCTATGCCTCCTATTCCCCCATCCACTGGTTTGGGCACATCCCTTCTGTAGTTCTTTCTCCAGGAAGAAATTATGTAATTCAGCCCCACTTACAGTGGTGGGAGGACTGAGACTCTCAAACACTTTCAACATGTAACATCCTGGTGTACCCGCCCACATTCACTACAATTCCCTGTGGTTGATGGGAAGTGTAGTTTCCTGAGAGGAGAAGATATGATGCAATCCTTACTGTTGCACCTCCTTCTTGGCAGAGCAGAGGCTGTTATCTTTTGAATTACAGAAATGAGGTCATGAAAATTCAATTAGATTTTTCTTCTAAATGGTAAGGATTTCCAGAATGTTATTAACTGTTTAGTGTTTTGTGTAGGGGGTGTAATAATGGGTGACTTTTTTTTCCTATCTTGAAATTCTTCTTTAAGGTGAGGTGCTAATAAAAGTTGACAGCCATTACTGTTAATCTAGAATGTTAGCTGGTCCAAGGTCAAGGAGGGTGCCACATTCACTTTGTATATGTAACAGCACACCAGTCACTGTACCATTAGCAGCAAAACTAATGATAGGGATTCTGGCATTGAAAAGGTATATATTTGTGGCCCTAATATTCACAATACAGCTCAGGACTGCCCGAAAAGGAAGATTTAGTAGCAACTTAGCAAAATGTCGTATGGCATTCAAAGTATTAAAAAGTATCACATTTACATCAAAGTAAAAAGTATCAAATTTACATTTAAAAAAAATGCAAAGTGCATATGCTTTTGAATGTCAGGAGCCAATTACTCAATGTCAAATCAAATAACAATTACAAAGTGTATGCGGTAATGAAGATCTGTCAACATACATATTTCTTTTTATGGAAAATCGGAAAATGATGTAATCTCCTGGTTCAAACTGTCATGTCATAACTTCCTAAACTGAATAGAAAGAGTTGGATTTTCTTATACAAATCATTGGATGCTTTAAATGTTTTCCTGTTTTTATTCTCCCTTGTTTCCTATTATATCATTTAAATAATGACTTACATTAGATCAATCTGTTCTTGTGGCTACTGTCTGTGTTGTTTGATTGAGGTTTCCTGTAAATTTAAATATTATATCTAGAGAATTTGAAAGGACAGATATTTGACTGTTCATTTGTTTTATTACAATTCAGTGGTCAGTGGTTTTTTACCATGGAGGACAAACTACACAAACAAGAAGCAAACACAATTAAAGTGGAACTTCAATCTCTCAATCAACATGGACTATTTTTAACCACTTGAGCTCCTGAGGATTTACCCCCCTTAATGACCAGGCCTCTTTTTGCTACTCGGCGCTGCACTAATTCAACTGATAATTGCGCGGTCATGCAATGCTGCACCCAAACGAAATTTACGTCCTTTTTTTCACACAAATAGAGCTTTCTTTTGATGTAATTTGATCACCTGTGCACTTTTTATTTTTCACGCTATAAACAAAAAAAGGCCAAAAATTTTGAAGAAAAAAACAATATTTTTTACTTTCTGCTATAAAAAAATATATAGTAAACTCAAAGTTGGTTATA